TCGCGATTCGCCGGCTGCCGGGTCATATAGATTTATATCAATATAGACGTGTATTTTACAATACATGAATAGAAGCATTCAACTATTATATAAAAAACAAGAACGTCTCACTCCGAGAGTCTCATCTTTTTTTCTGTATTAAACCAAATTGCAAAGTACAAAACATGCAAAAGAATGAGTAAAATAATTCTCACTCAAAGTCAGCCATTCAGACTGTACATTGAACAAACGTCTGGAACCGCAAAGAATTATTTCCATAAAGATGTACATGGCGTTTCGTGTGAGATTTAACACAAAGGCAGCTTCTTCCACCTACGGAATGCAAGTGATATTTTTTTTAATTTTGTAAAGCACATATTCCGTGTCACAAGTATATGTTTTAGAATACGCTATATATATAATGTATGGGGTATCGTGTTACTGAACGAATGTTTAAACCCGTTTAAACTCGCTTGACTATTCAACTCATTTCGAAATTGTAGCCATTATTTTGATATCGCAGGTCAACTTCTCCTCTTTTTTATCGTACGATGGTTGAATTTCTTTGGGCTTTTTAGTGAATGCCCTGATCACGAATTTTGGAAATTTATATTAATATGAACCATTGAAATCGTTGAGCGGTAAAAACGATGAGTATTTTAAGTTAATTTTCGTTATGTAATTTTATACCTGCAACAACCTTTTTGAGTCTTCGTGGATGTCGTTTTTAGCTCATGCACAGACCAAATCGCCGAATAGTGTCTGAGAGAAATATTTCGAGATGATCAAACGATTCAGACCTCAAATATTAGACCGGTTGAAATGTATTATGGTTATTTTCAAGTCTTCTTTCATCTCAAGTCAACCTCTTTATGAATATTTGTAGGTATTTCGCTGGCCCTAATTGGACACGAACTGACTATATTTCGTTGACCGTAATTGACAGTGGCGTACCAAGGCTATGGCCGCCATGGTTTGTTCCATGGACGCCGTTTAGACAGAGGCGCAAAAAATTTTGATCGTAAAATATTTCAGCGTAATAATGTCAATTCAAAACTCACATTTTCACTTAAATAATAACGTACAGGTATCTCAATTCAACAACAGTCGTGATATATTATCAGTCAGCGATTAATACCATTTCTTCACTGGGTAATGTCATAATTCCACATAAATAAAACTGGTAAATTAATACTGCACTGGACAAACTGTACCTTATAATTAATATTTGCTGTGCAATTCGTACGGGAGTGAAAATTTATAAACTTTCATACCACGAAACCTACTATTCTTAAAACAAGAAAGGAAGGCAGAGGAAACTGAAACTGGTCCGCCTCGTGGCCCATCGTTGTCACGCGTTTTTATTTTTGGAAAATTTGATGCTGCTTGGGACCAACGTTGTCAGACTTAATCCTGCACGCACAAATGTGTTTCCTGGGTTTCTAACTCACTACTGATTTTCATGAGCAATATCCAATAAATTCAACATGAAAATGTTCTATAAATTCTCCATGCTACAAGTTCAACCACAAGCAATATATTTATAATAAGGATAAGGGAATATAGAATTGGATACGAAAATTTGTTTTTACGTGTAGAAGGTAATTTAATTGGAAAATGCTGCTTAACTGCTCAGACACTCGTGCGATGCCGGTACGGTATCGTCTGACCGTACCGGTACCCATGCAATCACTCGTGAAAGAATGGGAGATGATGAGTGATTGTATGGCTACCGGTACGGTCAGACGCAAAGCGACTATAACCGACTACCGGTATTTGGTAAGACGGTACTGGCATCGCGAGTGTCCAGACAACTGAGTAGTTAAGCAGCATTCTCCAATTAAATTACCTTATACACGTAACAACAAATTTTCCGAATTTCCGTATTCAATTTTATATTCTCTTATCATTATTATAAATATATTACTTCTTGTTGAACTTGTAGCATGGAGAATTTATAGAACACATTTTCATATTGAATATTGCTCAAGAAAATCAGTAGTGAGTTTGAAACCCAGGGAACACATTTGTGCGCGTAGGATTATGCCTGACAACGTTGGTCCCAAGCAGAAGCAAATTTTCTAAAAATAAAAACGCCTGACAACGATGGGCCACGAGGCGGACCATCGTTGTCAACCTTTTTATTTTCTTTTTATTCAATTTTTTTTTTAATTTTTTTTTTTTAATTTTTTTTTTTTTTTTTTTTTCGTTTTTATTTTTTTTTTTTTTTTAATTTTAATTTTTTTTTCATTTTTTTTTTCAATTATTTTTATGTTTTTTTACAACAATTTTTTTATTTTCGGTTTTTTATTTTTATTTTCAATTTTACGCGTGACAACGATGGGCCACCATACAAGACCGCAAAGCTGATTTATTTTTATTTCGATGGTTAATATATTGCGTCGTGTAATGTGTTAATATTTTGATTGATTTATATATATCATAATATGTATATGTGCAACAGTATTTGTTTGGGTCATTTGCCGGAGAAACAGCCATAAAGAACAGATATCAAAACTAACCACGGTCATGTTCCAGTTTCAGACTTCATTACTTTCTACGAATACATAGGATGTATTTCGCTCACAAAAGACAGCATATGCTGGGGGCCAATATTGTGTAAAACGACGCATACTCGTGACTTTCGCCTCGAAAAAGTCTAGGTACAAGCAGCTACGATATCTTGAAGAAATTGTTCACAGACTGACCTCGCCCACGATTCGCGAATAGCGCTTCACATATTTGTCTCCGTCTTCATTCTTATAAAGTTGTAGGTAAATGTACAATAATATTTATGTACATGTATGAACTGTGTATTATAATTATAACGAATTATTTTTTTAATTCTGTACGTATATACCATGCAGATATTAAAAATTTTCATTTCATACCACCGACTAACCCACAAAACCTTAACACAAATCTTGCCAACTAATTATGGAAATTGTGATCTTTTGTACAAAACCTCCGCCAAAAAAACATCACCGCCAACGCCCAACATAAGAAAATTAGTGGCGGGGTCTTTGTCCAAAACATTCGAAAATTGTTCTCGTGTAATATTTGCTAGTAATCATTGTTCAAAAACCTTAACTATCCTGGAACAACTTCATCAAAATCTCCAAAACTCACTGTAAACATGAGTTTGGTGATTTTTGAAAAACTTTTTATAAAAAAAATTGTATATAAATGGTCGTAAAATTGAACTCGGTTCGTGATAAATGTGTTTTATTGTAGAAATCACCACAATGTAAATGTGAATTATGTATTTTCACCCACTCGCGAGTTCGAGACGGCTTGTTTTTCTGTCTTTGTTGGTCTGACGTGTTCAAGTATAAAAGAGAAAACAGAGGCGAGAGTAACATAACCACTGAAACAAGATATCTTGCTTCACTGTTCTACAAATATAATTAATTTCGTAACATGTTGTGTTAAGTCAGGCCTATATTAAATATTCAAATGCGCTTTAACAGTGCGTTTGACTTGGTTTTTGCATGATTTTGGATATGCGTAAAATAATGTTTAGACGGGCTACTTGTTCAATAGCTATCAGACAGCCTTTTCTCAGCAATCATGTTGCGAAAACCAGCCAACCGTATCCGAACGACTCTTCCAATTTGGTGTGAATGCTGCATTTGAGTTTCAAGTAAAGGAGGTTCTTGTTTTTACTGTTATTGCACAAGTGCTGGCTACTGAGCATTTGAAAAATCCAAGCACCTCGCGACCCTAGCGTGCAGATGTAATATTAAAATTATAATAAAACATTTGACATATCAAAACTACCTTTGGGTATCAGCAACTATGATATCGGTGGAAATGAGCAGCCTCTAATTAGCAACTGCAAAAATGTAAAGTACTAACCGAGAGATTTAAACTGACCGCCGTCGACAGAACCACATAAAATTACTATTTGCAAAAGTTCACACAACTGTATGAAACGACCAAGTATATATATATGTAAAAATGATCGGATTTGGACGTTGCGGGGATATTCTATTTGTGAGTACTTTTCCCATAGTGAAGCCATACGAGATTTTACAAATTTATATTGACGTTTTATATTTATAATGATAAATTTTATTGACAGTCAAAATACGTGTGCTAATCGCATAATACTATAGTCACGAGATGTGGATACATCGCCTAATTACCTAACTAATATATTAAGCCTTGATGATTAAATAAAATTATCATTTCAATCCTTGATAATAAACAGGTTTGCATGTATTCAACCATATTTGATTTTCACTCTTTCAAATGGGAATAAATTAAATAACCTGATCAAAAATAAAACAAAAATTTGACTTTTTGAAAACTTTAAAACGATTAAATTCTTGAACACGCCTTTTTGATAGGTAAAAATTAAATGATGAGGACCCTATTGACTTGAGGCGCCTAGACTTCAGCCTACCCTACCTAAACGTAAATCAGGCCATGTATCTAACCATGTAACCAATTTGTCAACGTTTTTAAAAGGAGGCCGTTGTAATAAAGATAGAGTCACCCAGACATTCCAATAGCCTGCGAAATTCAAAATAAAAAAGCAAATAGGTCCGTCCCGTCATTCTAAAATGAAGTTATCCTCCGCTCTATCTCAAATTTCTGAAATTTCACAAGGCAGAAACCAAGTGTTATCGCCATATTTTGCATTTTTAACACCATCTGTCAACTATTTTGAATTCGTTTTAATAGTCCGATGTCAATTTGCCCGTAATAATAAAATATTCCTCACTCTATACTTTGGGGTTCATCGATATAACTCACACAAGCAATATTTCACATTTCCCGTCATTTATTGTCTTCAACACCTCGCACGATGGACCAAACTGAGAACAAAGAAATCTGATTTTTTTTGAATGAATAAGTTTATCTGAATTCGTACAGTAAGAACCATTCGGTCTGGTCACTAGTTACTGTGATAAGATCGTAACTTGATCGTAAAAATAGTTGGCCTTAACTTGCTTCGCAAAGTACGTCATCTCCAATCTGATCTTTCCGTGCGTATAACAAACACCAATAAAGAGTTCAATTCAGCAAATACACCTTTATTTTTTTCAAAAACATAAAGAAAATAAGATGCTATCCACCACTGAGTTCATATCTTTATTGTGAACTATACGTCCAGTCGCACTGGCATAAGAAAAAAATTGCACAATAGGTATTTTGAAACCATCCGTGAACAAAAAGTTAGTTTTTTCTAATTTTCAACTAGCGGATTCGAAAATGAATCAACCAGAAAACAGTCTCTGAACAAAATGCACGTAGACAAATTGCGCATTTAAGAAAAATATGGCAACTAAGTTAGGACTTAGAAAACGAAACTCACAGGCTACTGATGGAATGAACCTTAAAAGCACCATCCAAACAAAAGTCCACTGGATCACCGCTTGGACAAAAGATCATCATTATACTGAAGTTCTGAACATAATCTGGCTTGACCAGGAAAAAAATTATCCATTTTATGGATAAAAAATGAAAATACAGTGCTTTCATGAAACCACCACGAACTCGTAATAGGAAGTCAATAAAGAAATAACAATTCGGTAAGACACCAGCGATACAAAAAATAAAAATTGTTAACACATATATAGGCGAGAGCGCCATTGGCTATTGATTTGTATTTATTACAAATTGTCATCCAGATTCAGTTATAATTTCAAAATAGTTCACAGGCTCTTCAATTGCCTCCCATAAGTTTTGACCGATGTCGTACCTCATCAATGGCGAATGATCAATATTTGTTACCGCGAACACACATATACGACCACCATCGTCTAGAAATGCATTAAGCCGTTGAACGGATAAAAATGGTTGAATGGCCAACACTTGGCCGACGTAGTTCCACATTTGATCTTCAATGTCGAAACGCTCAACTTCCCAAACATTGCGCCCAGCGAACGGATTGTCAACTCCACCTATGGCCCATAAATGTCCCTGTCCATCACTTATCATGACGTGGTACCCCCGGTCTTTGAACATGAAAGTTGGAATTTCTTCCCACTGGTTTTTCTCTGGGTCGTACTTCGAGGTTGTTCCTACGGCATCATACTCGGTAAAGCCACCGGACAAGTAAACACAACCGTTTTCTACTACACCAGCCATCATGCACAATGCTTCTGGTAAATCAGATATTTGATCCCAACTATTCCGCTTTGGATCGTACCGCTCACACGAACTCAAAACACCGCGCCTGTTTCGTCCACCGAAAACGTACAAATAGTTTCCAATGGCACATGCATAAAAATCGCCTCTTTCGCGGTTCATTGGTGCAACTGTTATCCATGTATCTAAACGAGAATCGTAACGTAGAACTTCCTTGCTGTAACCTTGAGCAGTTTGTCTTGTACCGCCGATTACATAAACAAATCCGTTGAGTAGAACCACACTGTGGAATGGATCACGAATTTTGTCAGACGAATCTTTTGGATTCTCTTTCAATTCTTCTGCTCGTTTAGCATGAAAACACATTGACGGTAACTTCACAGTATCGGGTGCGAGTACTCCATCCAAACATACTCTACTAGATTCACAAGCACGGAGTTGCGAATTTGGTGCTTGTAGCAATGGTTGTTCATACAGTTTCTTGTGATATTCCAAAGCATTTTGAAGAAAGTTCAATGCAGACTTAGAATTTTCGGAACCGGTGCTCTGTATAACTTTATACTGTTCCAGAATATCCTTTTTTGGCACGAGGGTGAACCGAATATTACTAAGAAGTTCAGAAGCATCTTGAAAATTTGCACTGGAAAGCCATTCAACCACATTATTCAACACTCGGCTTTCACATTTGTTCAATGGAGCACAATTTTGTCCAAGATTATCACTTTGTAAAAACTGGGGGAAATCGACTTTTTCTAAAAGATTGATGTCATGAGAAACGCCCTTTAATTCAGGAAAATAGTCGTGTATATATAGACTAGATTCTTTTTTTAAGGCATCCAAAGCAAAGCATTTCGCCAAGACATAGAAACCGCAGCAATTTACTTTGGACAATTGCGCAATTAAAACATCTTGGCACTCGTTGGTGAGAGTCGGAATTTGAAAATATCTCGAATGAAGTAGGATAGGCAAAATACTGTCGTTATCTATCGATATTTCACCTGTGTAAATGTAATCAAGCACCTTGTGCAACTGTGAATCGTCCAGCTGTTTGGCGGCATCGTCGAGATTGATACAACTCATACTTGATTCTTTCATGTCTGCAGTGAACATAATTTTAAAATATTCACTTCCCGCGGCCAAGACGACCTTGTGTGCTTGATAAGGTATACCAGACGCTTGCAGGGTGATGTCGCAACATTCTCCCCGACGTCGCAAGGTATTGATATATTCCATCTGTTCTGCCACATGTTTCATTTTGTCTTGTGGCGGGTAAACCTCTTCGAATACAGGTTCGTCAGAGCATGAGGTATTACGATAATATTCTTCCTCGGTGTCAGAATCGTAGCCGCTGTCAAACGACTTTGCACTTTTCAGCACAACTTTGTGTACTTTTACAGTTTCTCCAGTATTCCGTGCTTGGACTGTAGCATCACATAGTACTCCATTTTGCTGTAAATTTTTCAATTCCATAAACAAAGCACAATAGTGTTTCAACTTGCTGGCCAAACAATGCTGTTCGGCATTGGGCTCGTCCACGGACATTTTTAAATCGCTTTTTGCGATATATTTTGATCTATGATTTCTAAACAAAAAAAGGTGCAGACGGTTACATGCTGATATACATACAATTACGTGCTGCGATAATACCCCTCGAACAAATCAATAACAAGCTACCGTGTCGTAGTGTTATCACAGTACTTTCTTATCCAAAGAACAACTGGTATCAATCGTGGATCATATATGGAATATATATAATAAAAAAAACACGCCGCATCGGTCTCTTTCTGCCATGGTTGTGCTACTGGAAACTATGATTCGGAAAAGATGGCGCGAAACCCACGACAATACAGTACCTAGTACACAAGGGACACACTGAAATAAGTACGGTCTTTTAAAAACATGCCACGATTTATACATCTCTTCTGTTGTTGACCCGCTTACTGCAAGCCGTGATCAGCCCTATTGCGATAAACAAGTTTACGTGATCTCGTGCAGGCAGCAGTTCACATCATGACAGGATTACAGCGGTATAGGATTAAGCAAATGGTGGTAGTAAACAACAAACTAAGCGTTTTTTTGTCATAATAATTATAAATATATCGAATATCCGGAGCTGAAAATCTTAAAACTGCCGCGTAAACAAACCTATGCCCTGAGGCTCTGAACGATAAGCTTGGCTGTGAATGAATCTCAGAACCCTTCTGTCTGAAAGAATCGCGATTCAGCGATGCCGACAAAGAAGGCAACATACGGCTTGCGCAAGGTTTAGTGAAAAACAAACGGCAGGCTGCGATCCCATCCGAGTTCAACCACTCGCTTATTTAAAAGAGAGAATAGAGAGCTTCCGAGGCAAAAAGAGTGAGCGGTGGATCGTAAACACGCGGTCGGAGCGTGAACAGCGTATGTTGTCGTCGTGCACGTGCAGAATGCCGCACTGAGACAAGCTTTTCGCTTCAGCGGTTATGTATTTTCAACAGCTGAGTCAGGCGGTCGCGCATTCGCATCTCTCGCTGACGATCAGCTGGTGGTGAGTGTGTAGCAAACGTCAGCGATTCACGCGACTACCTCCGGCAAGGCATAATAGCTCTTTGTGGGTCTGATTTAAGCATGGAATCTCTCTAATTATACACAGCTGCGTATAAATAGATTTATCAAGAACTACTTACATATTTGGATCTGTTGTATAAACCCCCGCCCAAAAACACCACCACCATTCAAAATATAAAATTAGTAATTATCCACTTATGGCTAGGGTTTGCGCTGGAAATTCAAACCATCCTGAACCCCAACTGGGTAACTACTCATTTGTTATTTCAAAACGTAGCTGGAGTGTTTTTGTGGAACATCACATTTGTTGTAAAGATATATTTGGGTACTTTTCATATAGCAATGCCACAAAAAATATTACATTCAGCGAATCAAAATCGCCCTAAAATAAATAACCATGTGGTATCCAATTATTAATACATGCAAGATACATATTCATACATCATCCATTTTGGATCGACAAATCGTTATTGATTAGTTTTGAGGATAAGTCGTCGGCGTTATTTATAACATATCTTAGTGTTCTTCTATATCGTGTTCTTCTCATCTGCTCTATGTCATTAACAACTGCACCAGGGCGTTCTTAGATTGGAAACAAAGGAAAACTTTACATGGAAAAGTTGCTTCTATTAGTCACAGATTTTGAAGCTAATCAATGCAACGTTTAAAATCTTAGAATATTAAAACAGAAGAATATATAATAGTACCCTGTACTAGGCGCGAATACCGTTTATTCATATTGCTTCATCTTCACAAGAAGGTAACTTGATGAAAACATACCTCGTCATGTAAACTGTTGGACAAGCGATCTGCACCTACTTTACGATAAATGCCATTTGCCCTGTGCAGAATTTTTTCCTTACTTAGCTATGAACAATCTTATTACTTGTTGAAACCACACAAAATCGACGAAAATGACAATACCAGATAAATATAATGAATATTGTCATCTTGTGTGACTGCTCAATTGGCAAAATAGTGTAGGCCTATGTTGGATTTTTCGTTCCTCGATGACCGGACTTAACCTAAGCTATTTCGTGCAAGACTTGTTTGATGTCTTTGTTTGCTGAATATTTATAAAATACATAGCAAATAGATCGGAGATTGGCAATATGTAACCAATTCTACCTTCCCTGAAGTCATTTTAAAAGATTGTGTAAACTAGAGGTAACAACCATTCACTGCCCTCTGTGAGTTGAACAAACCTATTTGAAGAGGATGACATAAGTTGACTGGCGAACATAAATTCAAAAAAAAATTCTGTTGGTACGCAACGGTTAATCGATTATATATATATATCTTAACAAGAAATAGTGGACCGTCTGAAGACAACATTTGGGTCTCTCTTTATTGACTTACACTTGACTAACATGCTAGTCTGCAATGAGCGTACGTGCAGAATTCTTCAATGTCATTTCGGCAATACGAAGGTCCAAAGAGCCCCGTTTTGTAGGGGTGGGCGAGATTTTTGGACCAGGCACCGAAAATTTTGCCTATTCACACTGACGGGCGATGTAAATGTGACGTAAAAAGTTACATTTTATGAACAACGGTCACAGTGTTGCAAAAGCAAAAGTGGAAAACAATAAGCCTCATGCCAATACTAAATTTAATCGCAATCTCAACAAATTCCTTGAGCTATTTTTAGCTAAAACATCGGAATTTGGTTTTAGTTTGGTTATAGCATCATCAGGCGGGCCAGATTAAATTCCTTATTTGGCCCGCCGGCTATAGTTTTCCCATGTCAGTTCTAGAAGCAAGGTAACATAAAAAGGTCGTGTAAAAATATTCTCATTTTCATCATAAATTATTTATGAAGACAACATTGATACTTTTCGGCATATCTATTCGAAATAAATGAATCGTTTATTATATGAATAAATAGTTATGTATTTCAATCAACTTATATATATTTCCAATTTTTTATTATAAAATTAAATATTTCGAAATACATAGGTCAGCTGTGTAGCGTTTCATTGCAAATATTGACTTTTACCTTACGCTTACGTCAGTATCTAAAAACGCCACATTCGTTGACGCTGTTACGAAAATCGGAACCATCTGGCGAAATGATAGTTTGAAAATTATTACCAAAATATTTTTAAATTTCTCGCGGTCTAAATCTGTAACTTCACGAAATGGCGCTTTCTTATTCCTATCCTATTCACACAGCACATCACAGATATTATGTTGCCGATATCTACTTGGCATTGCTATTTGATTAAAGCAATTTGTTCATAATATATCTTATTCAACTTTCTGCATTTTACTAAATTCAGTAAATTTTGTATCGAATAAAACTTTTTTATTCGTTTTTACAACGCTTTTATATTCAAAACTGTTCATTTCGCCATTTTACCAAACCCTAAACCTTTTGCTTTACGAATTAAATATTTCCAAAGTAGCTTTCCAACTTATAGAAACCTCCTTCTACATTTATATTCGTCATGAGTATGTAAACTTTTTTGATCGTGTACTAGCTAGACAAAGTACGTCATGGTTTCGGCGATGTGGAGCAAAATATAATAAACGCTAAAAGGGTTATATAAAATACCCGGCATCAAACAGTGTAACACACGAATGCTTTGATTTTTTTCTGGTAATTGGGTCATATATACAAAAACGGTGTCGCAACATTGTATTATATACGAATACATGACGAAATCATTGGAGAATTATAGCGTCTGATGAAATCTATGTAATAGTACATCACAGGCCTTTGCCATGAATATATCACGCCCCAAAACACGCCACGTGCTTTCAAAAATGTAATTTCAAGGGATGATGTTCTAACCAACGTCATTTACCACGCTGTCCGGTCATCAGAGCCACGTGAACTGCGCATGTTTTTAACATAAATAATTGAAATAGTAGCGACATCTCGCGAATTTTCATACGACTACGTTCTACAACACAGCGATGTCTGTCTGTTACAATTCGGAATAGACAATAGCTGACGAAAAAACCAGCACACGTCTTGACACATTGAAAATTTGGAACAATTTTGAAATTTAGGTCAACAAATTATTGGAGATAGAACAAATTCAAATATGTCCGGCCAATAGAGGTATATTAAATTTGCGTCATTTACGCCAGGATGCTAATGTTATTATCAGATATTATGAGTTAAAGGACAACTTAGTTCCTCGTACGCGAAGGGAATTGTACACATCTAAGTATAGCAGTACGTGAGTTCCCTAATTAACCGATTTACAGAATGATAAAAAATCGAACATTCTATATAAGTAAAAGACAATTATCCCACCATGCAATGGCGCACGTTCCTACCACGAGGTATCCGACCGAGGTAAGAAACTTCCGCTTCTTACAGTTTTACAGCCCGTTGGTTTGCGATACTTAAGATCGAACGAAGCGAGAGTGTAAAAAATCAAATAAAATCAATTTATTATTAAATATTTCTTATTGATTCAGTCTTATAACCTCGTTTAAAAACGTGTCAGTAAAGTTATAATTGTTTGCACAAATATCCGAACGTTGTCATCTGTGTTTTACCTGGCTGCCCTTTGTCGCCATCGGACTCTTTTCTGACTGAACCAAAAATTTAAAATGAGAAGTAAAATATGATATGCGCATGTTTTTTTTGTATCAATAATAAAGGTGTTTGTACGAAAGGGGATTCCTGTAAATCCATTTGTCTGTCTCTTATGACTGGCAATATAAAGTTTTCTTTATAGAAACGACGACATAGTGCATCGTTTTGCTAACAGCGCTAGTGCCTTATTTATCCTCGATATTAAATGTCAGGATTTCTATATATTTCGAACGAAATATCTCAGACAATTTTTAACATAATCAATTAATTCATAATAACAAAAATAGTAAAGTAAGATTTGGAAGATGAATGTGGCGAAAACTAGACATCAAGTCCAATATAAATTAGTTCTGTTGTTCTTGCTGTTAAATTTTTTTTTTTATTTTTATGAAAAAAAAAATCTATTTTTCCTTTAGTTACTGGACATATTGCTTTGAAATATTTTTCAATGGTTTAAGATCGCTAAAAGGCTATTCCTCTTATTTGTCTCAAATATTGAAATAAGTTTATGAAACTAAATCAAAAAGATATAAAAATAAATTCATTTTATCTGAATTTTCATAATTTGTTGAGTTCGGTCTTAAGTATTGCAAAGTGATTTAGTTAGACCATTGATTCTCAACCTGGGGTTCGCGAACCCCCAGGGGTTAAAGACGAAGATTTCTAGGGGTACTTGAATGACAGTTAAGTTTTCATGTGTTGATATTTTTTAATGTCCTTTACTATCAGAGGAAAATGCATGCCTATTGAAACTCAGCGTGGATTTTCCCTGATCTTGCGTTGTTGTGACTCAACCAACAATGAGCTTTGCAGCCAAACTGGAAAATCTCAAAAGACAATGTGTTGTTTGCTCTTCGAATTGAAACACTTATTCGCAATAAACAGGGACAGCCTTCACACTAATGTTCAGTATAAATGGAATGAATACTTTTGTTTAATATCATTTAAAACAGTGGTTCCCAACCTACATGGCGGATCGTTAAAATTAAATAAAATGTACCAACGGACCGGCAAAAAATTGAAATGAGTGGAATTGAAAATAACAGCATA